GATGATCCTGGGCCATACTGACACAATCCCACCATTTCTTGGCCCAAACAGACCCCTCTTTTCGAAACAATCTCTGGGGGGTACTTTTTGTGCGCCTCGGCCTGGCGGAGAATTTTCCTTGAATTAGGACACTGCACCCTGAAACGAACCGGACGAGGTTGAGGTCAGTAGGGAGAGAGCTTGTGGTTCCCGGATGTTAGTGACGAGAAATTTAGAAGCTTACAAACACCCCTAAAAAGCATAATTCCTATTGGGTTTGTATTTGCGGTCAAGGGCATGTCAAATGGCTTGAACAATGGCGACAAATACCGTAGCTTTCCTTGCGAGAAAAAAAATCGAAACCGAGTCCCAAAGGCCAAAAAATCCTGGATCCGCCCCTACTATCCTGTCTACATCGTTGCTTCTACACTTTTTTAATTCAATTAATCACAAAAATAAACTCTACAAACAATATCTAAAAAATCCATCTAATAACAATTGTATCAAATACAAGACATTTCGCAACAAATAAAATCATATTATTAAGATTATTAAATCAAAGTTTTATCAAGACAAATTTGAAAAAGCAAAAAGTAATGCTAGAAGAACATGGGGCATAATTGACTCACTATTGAATAAAAACAACCAAAATAAATATCCTTTGGGGTTCAATATAGATGGAAACCTTTCAAATGAGCCTTGGGAAATTTCAAATGCATTTAATGACTACTTCACGTAAATAGGTCCTTCTCTCAGCCGAAATATTCCACAAGCTAAAGTCAGTTATGAGAACTACTTGACTGACCCCAACGAAAATTTATTTTTTTTAACCCAATAATCAAAACAGAGATTCACGAAATAGGCTTAAAATTTCAAAGCAACAAGTCTCCGGGCTTGGATGAAGTCAAACCAGGGCTACTAAAATGTGATCCATCAAGTTACATTTTTAACTTATCTCTATCCAAGGGAATTGTTCCAGATAGATTAAAAATTGCTAAAGTTACCCCTATATTTAAAAAAGACAACCCCACTGAGCTTGGTAATTATAGACCAATTTCTGTGCTATCCTGTTTGTCAAAAATTTTGAAAAACTTGTTTACATTAGGACAGTGAAATTTCTAGACAAGTATAACCTTATTTCTGATCATCAATATGATTTTCGACCAGGTTTCTCCACTTCAATGGCACTTATTGACTTAGCAGACAAAGTTGTCAAAACCTTTGAGGAGAACGCTTTTTCAATTGGAATTTTCTTAGATTTATCAAAAGCATTCGATACTATCAATCACGGAGTACTTCTTTAAAAATTAAATTATTATGGCATTCGGGGGGTTGCCCTTGAGTGGTTTGCGAGTTATTTAAATGATCGTAAACAATGTACTAAATTCAACAGTTGCCTGTCTAGTTTGAAACCCATCTCATGCAGAGTACACCAGGGCTCTCTATTGCGACCTTTGCTCTTTTTAATTTATATCAATGATATCTCAACAACATCAGACCTGTTATCTTTTATATTATATGCCGATGACACCAGTTTATTTTATCGAAACAAGGATATTAATTCTCTTTTTAATATTGTTAATACCAAATTGGTCAGTATATTTAAAAGCAAATCGTTTATCTCTTCATTTATCTAAATGTAATTATGTAATTTTCAGTAAGAGGAAAACGAAGAATGGACACAACTTCAATATTTCATTGGACAACACAATTGTAAAGAACGTAGAGAAGTTTAGGTTTTTAGGTGTCATCATTGATGACAAATTAACTTGGAAATTTCATATTGATGAGATTGCAAGCAAAGTTTCCAAGAGTATCTGAGTAGTTAATAGTTTAAAACATATTGTTCCATTTCAGGTATTAAATAATATTTACAGTTCATTGATACTTCATTATTTTTCTTATTGTGATTTTGTCTGGGGGAATACATTCCCTACAAATCTATCTAAACTAATAAATCTGCAGAAAAAAATCGTTCGAATTATCACAAATTCGCCTTATAGGGCCCACAGTCAACCCCTGTTACGTGAGCTCAAATATCAACAAGTGTTATTTATGTATAAGTTTAAAAATAATTTGATGCCCGGAACAGATCCAAACATGTTTGTATTTAACTGTGGCTTGCATAAATACAACACTTGTTCGTCAACCAACTTTCATTTTCAGACACCGCAACACAGAACTTCTGCCTATCAATTTAACATTAAATACTCAGGTCCCAAACTTTGGAATACTCTACCATCCTCAGTAAGATTTTCAAGATCATATACAATCTTTAAGCGGCAACTTAAGATCTTTCTCATGTAAAGCAATATAATTTTCATTGTTACAATGACTACTTCTGATCATATTCGTAGCCATGAAAATTAACTTAATTTTTTCATAGTCCATCTTCAATAATTACTCTTTAATTGCTTAGAGCTACAATTATTTGTTGTTTCTTATATTAATATGTATGTATGTTTTGTTTAAGGGCATGCCTAACAAAAGCTTTGCTTCTAAGGTGTTGCCACCTTTCCTGGCATATATGTCTATTAGACTTGTCTTATTATTATTATTTCTGCCACGGGAGGAAATAAATGTGTGTGTGAACTCAATGGCGACAAATACCGTACCTCCCCCTGCGAGAAAAAAAATCGAAATCCGAGTCCCAAAGGCCAAAAAATCCTGGATCCGCCCCTACTCTTCTGTCTACATCGTTGCTTCCACACTTTTATTGCAGGCTCTTGAAAGTTTGGTTATCGATGTTGGTTGAAAGGTACAGTCCATCATTTCCAGTGATCCAAAAAATAAATGATGCAATTATTTGACCATTGATATAAGACAGGCCCAGGCTTTCCCAGGCTTGCCCACGCACTTGGTTTGTCAATAACCCTTATCAGCACGTGGCTCAGATATTTACATACAATCCCCATGGGACTTGGCTGGAGATAGGCTCTGGAAAAGAATTACTCACTCAGGGGAATTCCCCACCATAAAGGTGACTAAACTAGGCTGTGAGCATCTACAGAGGTACAAATTAACAGTAGGTTTTTGCATTTGGCCGAAAAAATTTTTTAATTACGTAATTAGAAAAAATTCGATCCTCAGTTTATCAGCTCCGCTCTACGTCGGGTTTTAATGCTGGTGGTTTGTTCTAGAGGCATGTTGTTGATTTTGATCTCCAATGGGGTTTGCGGTACGTCGCGTGAACTTTCACGAGTGACTGTGACGAACCAAATAGCATTGTCTTTGTTTTAACTGGTGCCCTTATTAAGAGAAAGTCTATCTGCTTTATTTAAAAGCCAGCTCTTCGTTCCTTCTCTGTCTGACCCTCCACTTCGAATTTAATAAACCAGGACAGCAGGGTGGATCCAGGAATTTTTCGGGAGGGTGAGGACGGAGATTTTTTCAATGTCTGATTTTTGCGGGTAAGCAGAAACTTTTATGAAACATTACGTGCGTCGTGTGCACTTACTTTAGGTATTTTTATAATCATTTTCTTTACTTTTTAGGGGGGGCAGAGCAGGGGTGGGGGTTCTTCCCTCCTCTTTATTCACGCCTGTAGTTATAAGTAAAATCGACATGGGCCTCATGTCTCAGCCTCCGGTGGGACTAGAAGCGGAAACTTTTGTAGCGCCGCCAATGACCCGGTTTCGTCATGACAATGACGTACGTACGTGTACATTCGCCGGGGTAAATGCATCCCGAGGATGGCTAGGACGCTCTGTGGACGTGTGGTACACCATGGGTACACGTACATGTACATGTACATATGTACACTGTACCATACGGTGGAAACGAAACTTATTCCCAAATATAATACTTCGTGCTAGTGACGTCGCTGTTTGTGCATGTGTTGAGAAATCAGGCGACTGGAAATCCAGGAAGAACCGTCATCGTGTTCATACAGGCCTACGTAACGAGAGAGCAGCACTCTACATGATGGATGAACCATTTGATTTTGGGTAGGCGTGCAAATTGCGATTCGTTTTTAATTTTACGACCACCTTTCTAAAATAGGGGTAGGCTAACCACTTACATGTAGTCTGTACACTGTGTAACCGCAATCATTACAGAATGTGTGTATATTTATTGTTATGATTTGTAAGGTGCACCATTTTCTGTAAGTCCGTTTGTGTGCGAATCAGCATCAGAGCATCGCTTGAAACCCTGTGCACAAACCCATGAGACTAACATGACTAGGCTAAGTAAATGCTTCGATATTTTCCTCTAGTCTTACTTGAGACATTTCTGTTTCTGGTGGCTTTCATGTATTTTATAAACCACTGCAAGGGAAAACAAGTGATCTCCGTAAAACTCTGTATGTATCAAACT